AACTTGACAGAATATCATTTTCTGTGAGGAATTTTACATATGAGTTGGCAACATGTCGTTCGAGGAGTTTAGATAGAATCGGTAATATAGAAATGGGCATGTAATTGTTTCTCTCAGTACGTGTTTCAGCTTTATAGATTGGAATCAGTCTAGCTTTTTTCCACATGTTGGGAAAGACGCCATTTTCAATGCTCATATTACAAATGCGAAGTATTATGGGTGCAATGGAATGAATCGAGGACTTGATGAAGTAGGCAGGAATACCATCAAGACCTGTTGACTTGTTCTGGTCTAATTCGGCTGCAAGATTTAGTATGTCATCGATTGTTATCAGTGGAATTTGTTGCAATTGGTAAATGAGTATTAATTGGGTTGTTTAGTAAGCATAGGGCCATACACAGTTCGCTACACTCCTGGGATGTTTTGTATTCTTATTTACTTCATTAATCCTTTTTGAGTAAATGCGGTATGTATTGTCTTTGTGTGGCGAATTCAGAAAATATCGGCATAGGGCCTCATTGATCTGCCCTGTAATCTGTATAATATCAACTAAACTGTAAGAACTTATAGGTTAAAATAACCTATTTGTAAAGCTTATATGAATAGGTTGTTTTAACCAATTGAATAGGTTATAATCAAAATAAATAGGTTAAAATAACCAATTATTTTTTTGTTAATTGTGAACATTTTGGTACAATTAAAATAAATAGTAATGATTTTTCTGTGTTGGTGTAATTTACTCAGATGAATATGATGCTTGTGATGTTACTCTGAGTGTATATCCACACCCGGGAAGCTTGAAAATTATGACTGACCACGGTGGGAACCGAACCTACGACCTTTGGAATTGGGCTCATTACCAGAAATATTGGACATTTTGCGGCCGCGTTTTCTCAGCGGATAATTGCTTCATAATTAGATTCAGAAAACAAGATGGCGACTCGATCTTCAAGGAAAGGCTCTGTACCTTACAGTGTTCTTCATAATTTAAGTTCAGTGGATGTCCTTTTTAACGAAAGTAAGAAAAACCAAGACCGCGGACTGTTGGGATTTTGAGGCAGAACGTGTTATAGCGCGAAGAAAGGATAGAAAGGTGCGTGATTGGCGATTTTGCACTATTTATACTATAAAATATAAATTATATGCGGAACGTTTATAACCTGTTGTTTTTAATATGCTACGAAATAGCCAGTCTTGTGCTTATTTAAAGGTGATGTAAAGTCCGTAATGTAAACAAACGCTTTGTTTACATTTCGAACTCACTGCTACAGTTGTAAAATATGATTAGATATATATTATATTGAATTTTTAACACTTTTCTCGTTCGTTATGCTTGTAAATGAATACAGACTAGAGATTCAATTCAAGAAAGTTCGGAAAGAGCGAAATATTGACAACATTCCAAAGGTTGCTCCGCCACTGATGGAATGTTTTGATGCGCAGAATGTATGCGCAGAACGGACTTTACCGCATCTTTAACTTTGCTCCTGGTAGTTTTGTGGCTTATAGCATAATTATTGTTTACATTTCAACATACAGGGCTGTATTAAGTACTTGGTGAAATGGAAGGGCTATTCGTCGTTTGAAAATACCTGGGAGCCAGAAGAACACCTTTCACCAGCTTCTTTGAGGTAAGATCTGGTCAAATTCGGATTAGTTATGATACCTTTTTAAATTTGTCCTGAAATCTTAGCAGTCATAAAGTTGATTTATATTCCCAAGGAATCAAGTTGATCCAAATAAAGGGTTAAAATGATCATTTTAAAAAAGTTGTTTCAGACCAAATTTTGTTCTAAATTAATAGACATAAAGCAGGCATGGTGGATATGTTGGTTATAGTTTTGAAATAGGTATAATTATACATTTTGTGATACATATTCATCATCTTTCCCATAGATATTTTGCTAATCCTCATCCAGCACCAACTATTGTGGAGGAATGTTTAGACAGGCTAAGGGCAATGGTGATGGTTGCCCTAAAACACGAATGGTCGGAACAGAAGATAACTCTTGAGTTCAGTCATGATGTGTACAACTTTTTGCTTGGGGGAAAAGGCAAGCCAGCTGAGAAAAGAGGTTGGACTATGTATGAAGAGCAGGACTTCTCAAACTGCAAATTTCCTGCCAATTGGAATTGCATCTACGACCAGCATGGTGATGGTTCCACAATGAAGTTTTCGATAAAGATGAGGGCATTCTTAGGTCGCACACCTAGGAGTTTTGGAAAACAGGGAGACAGGATTGTGGAGTTACCAAGGGCTTATACTGAAAAGATTTCTATAAACTTTATTAAAATCAGTTCAAATTGTTCTTAATATACATGTCAATATAGTATACTGTTAACCCATTAACCTGCAATGGGTCATTCCAGAAAACATCCATACCACCCCCACGGAGGAAATAGGAAGTTAACCCCCCTATCCCCTTCGGTTGTCCTAATACATGTACTATTATCAGAAACAATTCTTTCTCCCTCGGACGGCAGAAATTTCCTCCGTGGGTGGAGTATATGGATGTTTTCTGGAATGACCCAATGCACCCCTAATTTCCTTTTATTTGCTGTTAAGCCTGGTTCACATATGCCTGCGATATGCCGGCGACGTCATTGTTTACAGCTGTTAATACATACATTCTTTTGTGAATTATTTGGTTGAACTGCAAAAGACAATAGCCCGCCGGCATATCGCAGGCATATGTGAACCAGGCTTAAGCGTCATACAGTTTTATTTGTCAAAAGGCAAAATCTTGAATGTTAATGATTAACTAGACTATCTGCCCTTATCTCCAGTGAACCCAAACTAAAATGTACCCTGACTTTTCTTTTATTTTCTCTAAATGCCATGAAGGATTATACTCGTCAAGCGGAGATAATGGGGTAACTACCCCCAGGTAGTGAGCACTTGGCTTGTTGGAGAAGTTGGATAGCTTTAAAATATATATTGAAAATTAGTTTAAATATTATAGATTTGGACATCTTGCTTGATCAATAGACTAGGTTTATCCATAAAATTTCTATCTACAAACAGGGCTTCAGCGAAGGGGGTAAAGTAGGCGGGTGTAGTATCGCATTTGCAGACAACTTTTCAGTCGCTAATTAATATTTTTCAGGGGGGGGTGTCAAAAATTTTACTGGACATACCATTTTTCACGAACTTTCCCATTAATGTATCGTAACTTGTTAACTTTTTCCGTAATTTTTGTAAATTTATTAAACTTTTTGCTATAACCATTACCATTTATTCTGAGCCAGTCAAATATTTTCGCTGATTATGAAAACAATTTATCAATCAAATATTTGCCGAGTCTGTGATGAATGCGGGGTACAAATCCCACTAAATAAATTGCAGTAAAATATGTAGATGGAATTGTTCACTCTTGTATATCATCATGCAATATGTCCAATGTTTTGAATAACTAAATGCTGTGTTACGGAACGTAAAATGTTTTCCTTTGACGAACAGAAATTTAAAATGTTAAGAATATAAGGTCCATATTGTTGTGAAAAATTGTTTGCCATTAAAAATGACAGTGAATTAGCAAAGTTAGAGTTCATATTTCATCTCTACTGGCATTACCTGTTAATGTGTTAAAACCTTTAGGAAGCTTTAAGAAGAGAGATAGGCTCACATTTTTTTAGTTTTGAAAGTCCTCTTCGATTCAGCCCCTTTCTCTTGATCTCTTCTCTCAACTTTACAATTGTAAAACTGTTGTAATCTGTAGGTCTGGTTGCAACATCATCTACCACAAGCTCTTGCTGAAGAATGGGTGCTTCTGCAGGTTGCCTCATTTTTCTCCTCTTTTGACATATCTCAACATCCCAGTATTCACTGTTTCTTTTTGTGTAGCTGCCTTTAATCCTCTCATGTTTCTTTAGTTCCCACTACCTATTTTCCAGAAAAAGGATGTCTTTTGCAGCGTAAATTTCTAGAATAAAAATTTCAAAATCATCATGCATCATCGTTATTTTTCTCCACACCTTGCCCTGTAAAGGTTTTGAAGCAGCCAAGCTTTTGTATAAAAAACGGAACATGATAACACATGACGTGCATATATGGGGTAACCCTTGCTCTTGTATAGCCACTTCGAACACCTCTGAGTGAACAAAATAACTCCAGCCACTGTTTGGCTTTTTCAAATGCATTATTTGATAGATCACTGGTCAAATTAGGATCAGATATGAATTGATATAATTCCTTAAAATCATTCCATATCTTAGTGACAGTATCGGCAGTATCGGGATATAAGTAGCTATGCAATTTGTGGGGTAGTTTATGTAAAAGAAGTTTTTTCTGTGCACCAACAAGGCTTGTATATTCAATGAAATTGCTTCTTGACCCATCCCCTTTTTTCTTATACCGCACAGAAAATGTGACCCCTTGCTCATTTATATCTTCAACAAATTTCTTTAAAAGAATACCTTTAGGCTGTCCGTTTGGCTTATTGAAATCATCGATGGCATCTCAGTAGCAGGTGTAACTCATCAGCAACAATGTGATCAAATTCTATGTTAATCAAGGGTGGGTGAATACAACCAAAGTTTGAGCTCTTGCATTTGCATTGTTTTATGACCTTGTCCAATGTCCTTTTACGGGGTTCTTCATTATAATAAAGCAAGTCTTTGCTTGTAACCCATCTAAATTGCTTGTGGATTTCACACCACAGACATGCATAGTCTGCCGTTGCTGCATTCAAGCCCATTATCATAAGCAACAACTTGTAGTCACCACCCAGGGAAAAAGTCCAACTTGACCTCCTTCTCATCAACAAGTACACTATACCCTTTTCAATAAGTGAGTTAATCTGTTCGAAAAAATCTGGAAGGGCTGTTTTAAGGGTCTCGTAGTCCTCTTTGCCATTTATAATGGCAACAGTTTTATTATGCTTAGATGACATGACATCTTGTTGCAATAAAGCGAAGGAAAACATCATAAAATTAGTTGAACGGGTCATGCGAGCCCCATCACCACTCAACTTTACTTGTACAACACTATCGCTGAGATCTGATTGCTCAGCCAATAGCCCTTGTATGTGTTCTCTTAAAGTTGAGTTAAAATCAAGCCTCGCACCAGGATATCCCCGAGTTCTGTCAATGTGATATGTTTTGTTCATGTTACTTCTTAATTGTTTTACCAGATATGACTTTGGTAGGTCATCAGATAAAGTGGATATTTATTTATTTATTTTATTTATTTATTAACTTTACAACCATACATAAAATAGACTAAAACACTACATAATATGGTTGAAGGTATGGTCAACAGGACATGAATAGCCCCATATGAAGACCAACCTTAATGAAAACAAACTATAACAAACATAAATCAAAGACGATAACAAATATAAAATTTACAGAAAACATGACGAATTACGAACAACAGCTTAAGTTGAAAGAG